CGAATTTGCCTGTAACCCAACAGCAGACTCAGTAAAACTGAGTGGGGGCAAATAACGTTCTAAAGATAGTGTCTTCAGATGCGCCTCAGAGCTTCTCCTCCAAAGTTATAGTGACCCCATTTCTCCAACTATGGATTCTCCAACACGAACTAACGATGCCCAGGATGTATAGTAGGTCAAACCCTCGGATGCCACCATCTTGGGCTCCGTACACTGATAGACCATCTTACATTACTACTGCCCATACAAACACAGAAGCTCCCGACCCTCAATAACATCAAAGGTGTCATCCTTACCCTTCGTTACCAGCACGAGCGGCTAGAAACTCTTGCCAAAGATCCATTCCTTTTGCAGTGTCAAACTCAAACAGTAGCTCAGTTGTATCCACTTCCTGCACAAATTCAACGAAATGACACTCTTCCCTCACCGCTTTCCTCCACTAGCGGGAACTCTTCTTCCGCTTGCACGAAGCCATTCACACCAGACAAGGTAACTCTAACAGAAGGAAGAAGACGAGCAAAGAGAGCAATACCCTAAGACCAAATAGGGGATACCTTTGCAACAAAGCAAGCGTAGAGGTAACAGACTAACCATGCAACAACCTTTACAGAGATCCCATGTGCACTGACAACCGAAACGGTGCCGTAGAAGATAAAACGAATGATTGATCGGTCATCTATCAATGCATAGCCGAAATACAAAATCACACAATTATATTACTACCCCTAGGGAAAAGGCTAGACACCCGCACACCAAATTCAAATCAATCGCCACGTCACCATGTCCATAATGACCAACTCAGTCAAAGAGCATGAAGTCTGATATACCCGCCAACGCACCACAACCCACTAGCAAGAAGACGAATAAACATCCAGAAGTCTAGCATAGTGGGAGGGTCGCCATTACTTGGTAAAAATAATAATTGGAACAGGATTGCACAAGATACGATTAACATAACAAATGACAGCGTCCGTAGAGATGGATTCAATAATTTCTCAGAGAAAATACTACACAAGGGAGAGAGAACCACCCTCGGGAGACCCCGCCAAGACATAGGGGGGCTGGAATCATTACCTAACAAACGCCAATTACACAAGGTAACCGCATGGCAACTTGGAAGTGTTTCTCGATAGAAAGCACTTTGCAAAGACATAAGGGGCTAAAATTTTAGATTAGACAATAAATTTGTCTCTTGACAAAATGCTTCCTATCAAGAAACAGGGGAGCTAACAATCATACAAGAACTGACTAGTTCAAACAAACAATGCACCCCAAAATAGACACACCACTAGCAGGAGTTTTTTTCTCCTTTATCTCAAAATTTCATAGCCTCCACAGCAGATGAATAATAGCAAAGAATTAGCATACACCCCTGATACCCAGCCAATATACTATCAAATGAAAGCACAAAATCTAGCGGCCCAACCTGACCCCCAACGGGTACAATCACTAGAAACTTACACGCGATGCTCAACCTCAAGAGATAACCGGACAAAACAAAACTCATAATC